TCCCACATTCCCCTGTGTGTGTACACAGTAGATGTACAGTTCAGGAAACTTGGCTAGAGGGGTTAGAATGTTTTAAACGCAGCATTTTACGGGAGTAGTGCTGGAGAAGTGTCGTTAGTCAGAGCATGAGAAATCAGATGGCACCCAAACAAGCTAATGAAAACTTCATGCTTTCGTTTCAGTCAACAACGTGGGAGTTGCATATGTTTATCCTGAATATTTTCTTGATGTTCCGGACCTGGATAAGGTAAGTGCTTTTGTGGTGCCTTCACTGTGTTCTCACTGTTCGCTCCAAATGCTTAGCAGAGAGGGCAAAAGCATTTAGGCTTGGTGAAGGTGCCCACATACCAAGGTTTTCTGATCAGAAGTAAGGGCTCAGAGACCTGGGAGATCTACATACACAGCACAGCGCAATTCAGGTGATGACAGTCTCGGCTTCTCGTCTTGTGATTTTTACATCCTCTTCCCTGCTTCTTAATTTTGTATTTCCATTTCAGACAAATGTGCTGGGGTCAGTATTTGGATTCCACTCCCCTCTGCCTTCTCATCTGGCTGCTGTTCCTGAGCTGCTTCAGCTTGTGGGCTGGGGGGGTTCTTAAGCGAATGAAGGGAAGGGAAGCAAGCGACTCTGTGAATGGAAGCTGTGTATTCCATAACACTGTTATGAAACTTAAATATGACCGTTTTGGACTGTTTGTACTGTAGGAACAATCTTGGTTGCACTGGGTACATTGAAAACTCTGGTTGTGAACAATTTCACTGGTGCATGATTTTGTTTCTAAAACCCCTGTAGTTCACAATATCCGCTGTGGTTTTGTGTTTGCTGCTTAAGTATTGATAAATGTATCTGGTTTTTGGTTCACCTTCAAATAAGCTTCATAATATTTAACAAAAAAATCCTTTTTTTTTTTTACCTGATGAATAAACTTTTAAGTCACTAAAACACTGTTATAAAATGGTGAAGAGCAAAATACAGACATTAATTTTTGAACGTGTCTAAAATACCAGAATTTATTAAAGTTCATATATATTGCAAATATTGTTAGGAAATACAGTGTCAATGTGATACATCTGTGTTGTCCTTTATCAGTATGAGTCCCTAATTGGCGATCAAACTCCACCAAGAGCAATTCACAGACTTTGCTTTGAATGTCTGTCACTCTTCATGATACTTAAGCAGGAAGGCAAAGAGTAAAAGGTGGATGTAGAAGCGTAGGGTTTAATTTATCCTGGCACTTAAGCCCAGAGGGTGTGTAAATATTGATCAAATAACTGAAACCAAAACAAAATCTAAAACTTTGTTTTCTTGCAGACAATTGACCAAATGGTCAACATTAACATCATGTCTGTTTGTAAGGTAAGTGCCCCGTCACCGACGCGTGTTCTCGATGTCTTATTTCAAAACTGGTAAACAACTAAAATTCAGTTGTCTGAAGCAGTTACTTTCACCTGTTGGACCGCAGGTTCCTTTTTCACCTTAGAGTAACCCAGAGGTTATGATTGTCGTATCAGACTCTTCTGATTGTTGTGTGAAAGGTAATTTGTTGCAAAGATACCTGTTGGGTCTTTGGAAGAGCAAGGCATGTACACAGAACAACACTTAGTGCTTCTCCAATGCTTGTTGCTCTTGTCCTCCTTCTGAATCGTTCATTAGTTTCTCCTCTTGTATCTGTGTTTCTTAAGGTGGGCAACCCTTATCTCTACACACCTCAGGTTTTTGTGCACTGTAGTGAGAAGGCACTGACATGTTTTCTGTGAAATATGTGAGCAAGAAGGAGAACCAAGTTCACGGAAGCGTGCATTAACTTTTGAAGTAAAGTCACCTTCCCTTTTTGATATTTAAGCTGAAGATTTTATTGAGAAGAAATCAGCCTGACTTCAGGCAAAAACATATGGGTGTTCCCTTGTTTATTAACATGAGGCCCATGCAAAAATCAGATTTTGATCCTAGTATTTCAGAGCTTAAAAGGGGCAGAGGCAATAGCAGCTGCTTATATGACACCAGGGAGTCAAGTAGCGTACTACCAGTGAGTGCTGAAGAAACTCCTTGTGGTTACTCACTGCTAAACCTTAACTTTCTCTTCCTATGCATAACAAAATTTGCATCTCCATTAGCTGAGGGTTAACCTTTTGCCTCAGAGCCAAAATGTTAGATGTTTCAAAGCTGGCTCGGAAGATTTGACTTTCTTGAAGCTGTTTTGATTAGGTCAAGCGCTAAATTCACCAAGTACGGTCCTCTTGGAGAGTCTAAACTCTGAAGTGTTTTGTTTGCACGTGAGGAGGCACAGGACCTCCTAAAATAAGGCTTCTGTAAGATTTTCACACCTGATTAAAACATAGGCAAACTGAAAATGCAACCGCTGCATGACTGAATGGGATTGTTAATATCAGCTTGCGGCTGCGAACTCTCACTTTCACGTGTGTTTTATCTGACATCTTAGAACTACTTGTTGCAAAATTAGAAATGCTACAACAGTGAATCTTCAGAAACTTTTCCCCTGGAAAAAGACTGCTAGCCTGACGAAAACAGATTTTGGGTTGACCGAGAAGGATTGTGGCCCGTGGTGCCTTGTTGCACTCCTGCAGGATTTCATCAGAGAAGTCAGTTATTAATGGGCATCTTTAAAAGTTTTCTCTTACGGAAGTAATTTAGCAGACTTTTTTTAATGTTAACAGAGCTACACCAGGTGTAAATCTGAAGAAGTGTTATCATGCATTAGACCTCCTGGCAATTAGTGTGATCAGAATGCCTCTGCCAAGGTGTGACTTCTGTGCTGCGCCGGCAGAGGGAGTGCACTATTCAGTGATAAAGAATTTGGGGTGCCAGTCTTCCTGGACGAGTTTTGTTCGAATAGGAAAGTTACAGATGAACTACTTTAATACCTATTTCTGTACGTGGCAGGGTAGGATAATAGTTGAGGTCTACATTAACTCGATATACACCTAAAATTCCAGAGATTCAGCCAGATTATATTGGTTTCTGGAATAAACTAGTGCTGTTTTGTGGCTTGAGTCATCGTATTTGTGATCGGTGGTGGTCAATAGAGTTGACATGTCATACAGTGTCATACAGTTTCTTGTAAAATTTGCATCCCGTCAGCCTCTTCACATTCTACTGTGGTTGTCTTCACGCGTATAAAAACTTACTGAAGATCTGCTCGCTGTGTGTTAATAGTGTTTTTCCTTCTGTTTGAAAACTTTTTTCTTGACCGTGAACAGCTCCTGCTACTGGGTGTAATCAGCGTTTGAGCATAAGCTTCCAGGCTTGAAAATGTTTCCTCCTGCATGAGCCTGTTGTGTAACTAAACAGTAGGCATGCCAGATGCTTACTGTTTTGGGGAGAGGAGCACATTAGAGATATGTACCATCTGTAAGTCATTTTTTCAGGAGAACTCATAGAACTAGAGAATCCTGGTAGGAAAAAATAATTTTAGGAAAAGTCTATACTTCCTTTCACTTAGATTTTTGGGACACAATGCTGTGAACATGTGGTTCAGTATTTTAGGTTGATGCTATCACTTATCCAGGGGTATAAGTGTGTTTAAAAAAAAAACCAACCAAAAAAACAACAATAATATTCTCCCTTCTTGTGTGATGTTTGGGATGGAGGAGAGCACCGAGTTCTTAAGCAAGGAGGTGAAGGTCTGCTGAAAAGGTGAAGGTACAGGAGAGGTAGAGCGGGTTTTGCTAGTACCCATTCAGGCTCTGCTCACAGTATCTCCAGATCCTGTCAGAGGTGTCACATAACCCAGCTCCTGTTACATTCTGGAGCACTGCCATCTTCTTCCTTGCCTTTCGGACCAAACTTCCTAAGTGCTTAGAAGGTAATGATATCCCCTGTCTTCTCGGTAACCTGTACCATGTGCCATCAGCAACACCTCTGTTGGACACCGTAACTTCTCTGGCATGCGTGTCGAACACCTCTGCTTCGGTTCTGGCCAAAACACTCCTTAGGCTTGAAGTGGGAAAGTCAAAATATTCAGCACAGTTTGGTTGTGCAGAAATGTTAAGGTCTGTTTTGTTGCTGTACACGCAGGTGTTTTTGAAGGGTAACGCTAATCCCTTACCTTTTGGGCCATCTTTTTCTGTGTTGGATTTCCTAGGGAGTACGCAGCATGTAAGAAGGGGTGGGCTGAGAGATAAGACCCTGTCTTCACCTCATAGCCTAGTTGGTCCTGCTGTTTAATACTTTTCCCATCTGTAAAGGATCTAATACTATGAAATTTTCCCTAATGCTTGAGAACTTGTTTTTTTTGTTCACAGCTTTTGAACATGTGTCTTTCCCAAATCCTATTGCACGTTGCCTGGCCCATCATGTCCATAGAGCACTGTTGGGTTAGGTCACCCATGAACCCCACAGTGGTGCAATTTTGGGGCTCAGTCAGCCTGGCATGAAGCGTTGTGATTCCTGTGATCTGCCTTCAAAGCACCCTGTAAACCACCGAAGACAAGCTATGTAGAACTGTGTAAAACACATAGGAAATCTCTCATCTTGTAAAATACTGGTTAAAAAACCTGACTAAACACCATGCTGCCCCTCCAACCACAGTGGATTCTTTTTAAGCTCTCTAGGAAATGTGAAATTTTTATGGGGATGTGTGGTGCAGGGCTTGCTCTGTTCTTCGTATAATATACAAAACAGCAGTGCCTTGGGTCTTGGTGATGCCATACATAGAATGAAGAATTCTTGTTTGTGGTATTTTCTCTGGAAAGCTTGAGACTTAATACAGCCTTATACAAGGATTGAGTTGACAGATAAATGAGGAAGGCGGGGTAGTATGTGAAGTTTCATGGTTCTGTCACAATTGCATCTTGAGCTTCTGGAGGGATATAAAAAGCAGAACTCTTTAAGGATTGTTGGTGGCAGTTCAGGTAGCATGGGTCTGTATTACAATTTTTTGATCTCTCATTGCATTTTGAGACACAAACTAAACATATTTCTGACATTGAATAAAATATTGGGTCAAAAGCCCTGGGGTTTTTCACTAACCAGCAAATGTTTAAGAGCCAAAATTATAGTTGCTCTTAATAGTTTTCATCTATACTTCCTCTGTGTCAACTGCACTTTCTTGTGTCACTTCACCTTTGTATGCTACAGCCTTTGGTTTCACCTGGAAAAACAATTAAACTTGATTTGGCTGTTGGATAAATGTCCTGAAAGCCAAGAATGCTGAACTTGCTGTCCAGTGGAAAAAACTGGGTAGGTAATGAGCATAGAGATAGCTTCTCATACTTCGGGGACTCCTCCTTTCTCCTTTGGAAGCTGCAAAAGAAACTTTGTATGTAAGGAACAGCAAGTATGTTTTTCCTGTTTGCAGCATCATGATATGCTAATTGCGTTGGGAGTGAGGCATAAACTGGTGTTCTCTTGAAAAATGAGTAGGACTAAATAGTTGAGGGAGTGCTGGCTTAGCGGTTGATTAAGCAAGGAGCTGAATTGGTTTGCAAGCTATTATGTTGTGGGGGAATATAAATTTTAGGCTTGCAGGCCAGGCTGTGTTTGGAAATTGGCACTGGCGGAGGAAGTGGGAGAGTAAATTACATATATGTACATGTCTTGGTGCCTGTGCTAATCTTCGCCTTGATCACCTTACTTATGTTATATACTTAGTGTCAAAGACAAAGGGAGAATAAGCCTACAAGATCGAGGATTTTTATCATCACCGTATTTGAGAAGCTTATAATTTGCTGAAGACTTCAAAATACGTAAATGCTTTGTGCTGAACTGAGAGATCTAGTGTCAACTGCCCTCTCAGTGGAAGAGGAGCGAGAGGTGATTTATCGCAGGTTGTGAATCCCAGGCGGGACAAGAGAACAACTCTGCCTGCAGAGTCTGAAACTGTGAGTTTAGGGGGAAGTAAAAACCCCAACAACAAAACCTGCAACTGATACAAAATTGAAAGGGGGAGAAAGAAGCTGGTGTATTTGAGAAAGCGGGGAAATATTCTTTTGCAGACCTGTGTGTAGAAAGCAGAAAAGCCTGAGGAGCAATAATCCTGAAAGACAGTAGGAAATGACATCTCTCTTTCCTGTGAGTGCTCAGATGAGCTACTGCAGCCTCATACCACGTCTGTAAAGGTACCCTGCCAGAAATCAGATGATAGTTGCTTGTACCCTGCTAGAACCTGATGTGAGTTTTTGTATTTGCTGTGTACTGGAGAGGATCACAGTAAGCGGAACATAATTCTGAAGGAAGTGGCAACACTGACTTGTGAGAGGAGATCACTCTGTGTATATGTGTATTCCAGTCTTGTCAAGAGATTTCTTTACATTTATATTCAAAGTCATAATCGAAGGGGGGGGGGGGGAAGATTTTGCCAAGTACGGAATATAAGTTTATAAAAGAGAGGGACAGTT